TGTAAATATATATATATATATATATATATATATATATATATATATATATATATATATATATATATAGACATATGGACACAGTGAATAAAAAGTAATTAATAGATAAGTAGATAAATAAATAAGAACCTAAGAAAAACATTCAATATATAAACCAACCAAAGACTTCACCGAATCAAAAACCCAAATTAGCTCATAAAATCCCGATCTTTCATTAAGCAAAATAAATACACAGAAAATGATAAAAATAACATCCCGGTCCTTAACAAAATCGATGTTTTAGGCGTTCGATTTTTCTGACTTTGCAATTGTTTTCATTAGACAAGTTGGCGTTCGTTCTTGCTTTCCCAAGGCGAGCGGGTAGGCTGGCTGCCTCCTTCTCTCTTCTTCTTTATTACGATATTTCGACTCTTCCTCTCTCTTTTTCTCTTCTCTATCTGTCTATTTATCTGTTTCTCTATTCATCTGTCTTTCTCTGTTTATCTATCTGTCTATTTGTCTATCTGGCGAGTAGGCTGCCTCCTCCTCTCTTCTTCTTTATTACGATATTTCAACTCTTTCTCTTTTCTCTTCTCTGTCTGCCTATCTATCTTTTTCTCTATTCATCTATGTCTCTGTTTATCTATCTATCTGGCGAGTAGACTGCCTCCTGCCTTCTCTCTTCTTCTTTATTACGATATGTCGACTCTTCCTCTCTTTTTCTCTTCTCCATCGGTATATTTATCTTTTTCCCTGTTCATCTATGTTTTTTTATTTTATCTATCTGTCTGTCTGTCTATCTTCTTTATTACGATATTTCGACTCTTCCTCTCTCTTTTTCTCTTCTCTTTCGGTATATTTATCTTTTTCTCTGTTCATCTATTTTTTTTCTGTTTATCTATTTGTCTATCTGTCTATCTTCTTTATTACGATATTTCGACTCTTTCTCTTTTCTCTTCTCTGTCTGTCTATCTATCTGTTTCTCTATTCATCTATGTTTCTCTTTTTCTCTGTCTATCTGGCGAGTAGGCTGCCTCCCTCCTTCTCTCTTCTTCTTTATTACGATATTTCGACTCTTCCTCTCTTTTCTCTTCTCTATCGGTATATTTATCTTTTTCTCTTCATCTGTTTTTTTTCTGTCTATCTATCTGTTTCTCTATTCATCTATGTTTTTCTGTTTATCTATCTGTCTATCTGTCTATCTTCTTTATTACGATATTTCGACTCTGTCTCTCTCCTTTTCTCTTCTCTATCTGTCTATTTATCTGTCTCTATGCATCTATGTCTTTCTGTTTATCTATCTATCTGGCGAGTAGACTGCCTCCTGCCTTCTCTCTTCTTTATTACGATATTTCGACTCTTTCTCTCTCTTTTCTCTTCTCTACGGTATATATATCTTTTTCTCTATTCATCTATGTTTCTCTGTTTATCTATCTGTTTCCTTATTCATCTATGTTTTTCTGTTTTATTTATCTGTCTATCTGTCTATCTGTCTATCTTCTTTATTACGATACTTCGACTCTTTCTCTTTCTCTTCTCTGTCTGTCTATCTATCTGCTTTCTATTCATCTATCTGCTTCTCTATTCATCTATCTTTTTTCTGTTTATCTATCTGTCTATCTGTCTATCTGGCGAGTAGGCTGCCTACCTCCATCTCTCTTCTTTATTATGCATTTCTCTCTTTTCTGTTCTCTGTCTATCTATCTATCTGATTCTCTATTCCTCTATCTTTCTCTGTTTATCTGTCTGTCTATCTATCTGCTTCTCTATTAATCTCTTTGTCTATTTATCTATCCATCTATTTATCTATCCATTTTTCTATTTGCATATTGTCTACTTATTTATCTATCCATTTCTCTATTCATATATTTTTTGTTTTTATCTGTCTATCAGGCGATCTATCTCCGTTTTTCTTTCTATTAGCAATCTTATTTTTCTTATTGTTTTTGTTACTATTATTGTTTTTTTCATTCACCTTTTTTGTTATTTTCATTATTGATATTATTTTTATCCTCATTATCATTTCATCATCATCATCATCATCATCATCGCCATCATCATTATCATCATCAATCATCATCATCATTATCATTATCATCATCATCATCATCATCATCATCATCATCATCATCATCATCATCATCATCATCATCATCATCATCATCATCATCATCATCATCATTATCATCATCATCATCATCGTCATCACCACCACCACCGCCACCTCCTCCTCCTCCTCCACCCCCACCATTTCCTCCACCACCGCACCACCACCATCTCCTCCTCCACCATTACACCAACTCCACCACCACCACCACCACCATCTCCTCCTCGACCACCACCTTCTCCCTCACCATCCCCATTACTACTACTATATATTATCATTATTCTCTCCGCGTTTCTCCTCCGCGCACCAGGACACTAAGCCCCAAAATTGCTTTTTAGCGACACATAAAATTGGTCGTTATTCGTACACCCAGTTTCGTGGGATACTCGCAGGACACACAGTCGTAAAATAAATAAATGATTAGATAAATGATAAATAACTAAAAAAAAATAATAAGAAAGGAAAATACAGTGCTAGCGGCTGTTATTATCCTCCTTGTCAGTTGTTAGAAGATTTTTTATTTATTTGTGTGTTTTTTTTTCTTTTTCTGGGCGTTTTCTTTTTTTCCTTCTTTTCCTCTTCTCATCTATGCTTTTCTTCTTCTTTTGGCTAATTCGTATTATTGTTATTGTTTTTAATTTGTGTGTATTTTTTTTCTGGCTGTTTCCTTTTTTTCCTCCTTTTCCACTTCTCATCTTTGTTTTCCTCCTTCTTTTGGCTAATTCGTATTATTGTTATTGTTGTATCCTTAACGTTGTATATATCTGGTCTTAGATCATTGAGCCATCTTCCTTATTGTTGTATACTCTTATGTCTGGTCTTCACTGAGCCATCTTCCTCAATATGTCTGTACGTCAGGGAGTGCGACAATCTTCCTCGGTATGTCTGTACGTCAGGAAGTGTTACACGTGTATCGGTAACAGTCAGAGTACACTCATCGTGAGCAATATACCTCATAAGTGTACCGCAGCGTCCCTTTGAAGTCGCCTATCACGGCACCCTTTATCTGCCTTCATTTTCGCGTTTCATTTTCTCTTTTCCGCATCGTCCAGATCGCTGTGGTTCCCCCTCTCCCCTTCCCACCCCTCCCGCTCTTCCTCTCACCTACCTCCTCCCTCCGCCCTCTTCCTCTCTTCCTCTCTCACCTACCACCCTCCCTCCACCCCCTCCCCCTCTTCTCTCACCCGCCTTCCCTCCGCCCGCCTCCCCCTCTTCCTCTCTTCCTCTCACCCCCCTCCCTCCGCCCCTCCCCTCTTCCTCTCTTCCTCTCACCCCCTCCCTCCGCCCCCAGCCACGCGCGCCCCTCGAGGCATCTTAGAAATCCCACTTAAGTGTTCATAACCGCCCTTGACTGCAGCTGAATCATCATCGACTTCTATCGCTGGATTCCTCCTCCTCCTCCTCCTCCTCCTCCTTCTCCTCCTCTTCCTCCTTTCCTCCTCCTCCTCCTCTTTTCCTCCTTCTCTTCTTCTTCTCCTCCTTCTCTTCATTCTCCTTCTCCACTCCCTCTTCTTCCTCCTCCTCCTTCTCCACTCCTCTTCTTCCTCCTCCTCCTCCTCCATTTCCTCCTTCTCTCCTCTCCTCCTCTCTCTTCTTCTTTCTCCTCCTCCTCCTCCTTCTCCGCTCCTCTTACTCTTCCTTCCCTCCTCCTCCTTCTCCACTCTCCTTCCTCTTCCTCCTCCTCCATCTCCTTCTCCTCCTCCTCCTCCTCCTCCTCCTACTACTACTCTACTACTACTACTTCTCCTGTTCCTCCCTTTTCTCCTTCTTCTTCTTCTCCTCTCTTTTCCTCCTCCTCAACCTCTTCCTCCTCCTCCTCCTCCTCCTCCTCCTCCTCCTCCTCCTCCTCCTCTCTCCTCCTCCTCCTCTTCCTTCTCCGCTCCCTCTTCCTCTTCCTTCTCTTCCTCCTCCTCCTCCTCCTCCTCCTCCTCCTTCTCCTCCTCCTCCTCCTCCACCATCTCCCCTCCTCCTCTTTCTCCACCTCCTCCTCCTCCACCATCTCCTCCTCCTCCTCCTCCACTACCACCTCCTCCGCTCCCTCTTCCTTCCTTCTCCTTCTCAACCTTCTCCACTCTCCCTTCCTCTTCCTCCTCCTCCATCTCCTTCTCCTCCTCTTCCTCCTCCTACTACTAATACTACTTCTCCTGTTCTCCCCTTTCTCCTTCTTCTTCTTCTCCTCTCCTTCTCCTTTCTCTCTAGCCTCTCCATTCCCTCTTCCTCCTCCTCCTTCTCCTTCACTCCACTTTCTCCTCCTCCTCCTCCTCCTCCTCCTCTCTTTTTCCTCCTTCTCTTCTTCTTCCTTCTCCTTCTCCACTCCCTCTCTTCCTCCTCCTCCTTCTCCACTCCCTCTTTTCCTCCTCCTCCTCCTCCATTTCCTCCTTCTCCTCCTCCTCCTCCTCCTCTTCTTCTTCTTTCTCCTCCTCCTCCTCCTTCTCCGCTCCCTCTTACTCTTCCTTCCCCTCCTCCTCCTTCTCCACTCTCCCTTCCTCTTCCTCCTCCTCCATCTCCTTCTCCTCTCCTCCTTACTACTACTACTACTACTACTACTACTACTACTACTTCTCCTGTTCCTCCCTTTTCTCCTTCTTCTTCTTCTCCTCTCTTTCTCCTCCTCCTCAACCTCTTCCTCCTCCTCCTCCTCCTCCTCCTCCTCCTCCTCCTCCTCCTCCTCCTCCTCCTCCTCCTCCTCCTCCTCCTCTTCCTTCTCCGCTCCCTCTTCCTCTTCCTTCTCTTCCTCCTCCTCCTCCTCCTCCTCCCCTCCTTCTCCTCCTCCTCCTCCACCATCTCCCCCTCCTCCTCTTTCTCCACCTCCTCCTCCTCCACCATCTCCTCCTCCTCCTCCTCCTCTTCCACTACCACCTCCTCCGCTCCCTCTTCCTCTTCCTTCTCCTTCTCAACCTTATCCACTCTCCCTTCC